CTTGATGCAGCTTTATCTCCTAGAATACATGTTGTTAATATGCAATTATTTGATCTCCTTGGCAATATTTTGTTATTCGGATAAAGGGTAATCTTCATTATTATTTTTTGGTAAAAAAAGTGTTTATCTTCTTAACCACTTTATCCTTTATTTATCTTGAAATATTTTCGTTCAACCCCTCTTTTGAATGCAAATTTCGTAGATTTGTTACAAATTAAAATGCAACATTTCATTAATCGACAATTGCATTAGTATTGTTGAAGCATCAACCTAAGAAAGTAAATTTTCATCCAATTATTTGTTCTAACATCATAATCACACCAAAATCTATCAATTTAACATATAATCATCCCAAAACACTTAGAAACACATATCATGCATATTATACTCAATTGATCATGATTTGATATAATTTTATATCAAATTAGGCAACAATTTAGCAATTATAAGCTCAAAATTAACTCTTACTTGGAGAATTAACAACTACGTAATGTATATAAGCACATATTTTCAATTTATAAGTATTATTTAATGCAAGTTTGAGATGAAAATAACAAATGCATTGATCCTCATTATAAAATAGCATGCCACAAAAAATTGTATAAGAAGACTATAATGGAAATAACATGAAATATCGAGCACATAATATAATAATAAGAAAGGTCTTTTGCTATAAATAATGTTAGAATAATAAGTGTCAAAGGAAAATAGTTGTATCCCTAAATCCTTTAAAAATTTATTATTTCTTTCATTTTTAAAATCCTAATTAGGCTTGTGAACCGATGACATAATTCCAAGACCTTATACCTAAGGATTACTTTTTGTTCTTCGACATTGTTTATGGAGAGAAATATTTTTTTTTTCGAGCTTAGAAGAAATTTCTATATGAAAAAAAGTGTTTGATAACACAATTTATTTCTATTCCCAATGAGAGAGAAAGTATTTTTAATAAATAGTATATTTAATTAAAAACATGTTTAATCTTGATAATACATTCTAGGACGCGTGTATTTAATAAATAGTGTGTTAAGAAACATACAAGCAAAAAAAAATTGTTTCTTATTTATGTGCATTTATGTTTTTGGACTACCGATTCATTTATGGGATTAATGTATTTTATATTGTAGGAGATAATTGTATCTCCTACACGTATGGGTCCATGTGGGGCCATGTAAAGATAAGAGAGAGAGAAAGAAAATATGGGCTCCCTTCATTTATTGGAGCAAAAAATTAAATCGATTTTTCTAAACTCTATTTTTAAGCATTTTTGTTCCTCATACTAATTATATCACCAAATATATCACCCTTATTCAAAAGAAATCGTTGCATAACCCGATAAGATGTGAATAATTTTTATTTTTAAAAAATTAAAGAGAAAATGAAAAAAAATATTCACATCACATGTGTACATAATTAGTGAGTGGTACACCATAATATAGCATTTAAGCCTAAACAAATTGCCAAAATAAGTGGCTTCAAAATACACTTAATATCATTAAATTATTGTATATCAAGTCTAGGCATAATATCACAACACTAATATACTAAAAACTAGTTGTGAATTTCTAAAATACCATGGCAGACGAGCACGATCCACAGTCTCTCATATATTCTTAAGGTTGTCTACTTAGATTTTTTAGAAATCACAAAACTTGTAGTTGAGAAATTGTTGATACAAGATATGTTTTGATGATGTCAAAGAGAACACAACAAAAATAGAAGAATCTTGATCAAGAGCAAAAAGTCACCAACCATGTGTGAAAAATAAAAATATATGATAAGGCCAAACAAGAAGAATAATAAAATCATATTAAAGTGACAAAAACATGAATGAGCTTTGAAGAAAGCTAGCATTGAACCAAGTGCAATGGGTTAAGAATAACAAAGAAGAACGTGAAGTGCAAAACCAAGATCAAAGACAAAAGTCAAGAGAAGCATCAAGGTCCAAGCATAAAGATAAAAAGTTAAGTCCAAGACCTTATTAGATATACTTTTAGGACTTGGACTTATATGTAGAGGTATATGGTAGCTTGCTTTGCATGAATTCAAGCATTTCTATCATTGCATAATTAAAAAAGTGCATGAAAACCTTACTTTGATATGTAAAAAAAGAATCATAATATTTAACCTCATTGTTAAATATTATTGATCATTTGATTATTTGAGCTCAACTTTTGTAAAATTCGTATACCCATTAACTCTTCAACTTATATATACACTTAGATAGTGTGACCTCTGTAAAACAATAATGACTTACACCACAAGATGGGGTGAATTGTGGTTACTTCTTTTGTACGAAACTCAATTGTCTAAGCCCTTTTAACAGGAAAACTCAAGAAAATAATCAAGAATAGAAACTAAATCATTTTTAACCCCAAAACGAAATCAAATCAGAGTTACAAACGTCGCAATCAATGAATCAAAAGCAAAAATTAAAAGAGATAAGGGTTTAGAAGATCAAACACAAAGATTTATCTTGGTTCACCCTCAAACCACTAGAGGTCTATGCCCAAAATGACACCTATCGTCCACTATGCTCAAAACTTCCAACTGATGCCTGAGAAATCAATGTACAATGGAATTTTACAAGAATCTTGATCAACCTTGACCACTTTCTCAACCTATACACCCATAGATCACTTCACTCCACAAATTCGAGTTCCGGCAACAAAACAACTTCAAACAGATGTAGAACACTCAATTACGAAAGAAATCGAAGAAATAAAAGAAGAACAGAAGATTATTGAGCTTTCTCTCAAGATATGCAAAATAAGCCTAAAATGATGTAATTCTTGAATTCTATATGAACCTGTGTTTTTTCTCTCTTAAAATTTTTGTAGAAATCTTAGTCTTATGTTTATATAAGAGTCCAATGAAGATTATAGTCGTTTATGATTGTTGGACTATTAAATTCGAGTTTTAATTTTTTAATATACTTATATCTAAATATATGTCAAGGTTGTATCTGGATATGTATATCCCGATATATGATTTCACATATCCGGATAAATCATAACAACATCCCTATTTTTGTTGTTTTCGATCCAAATCAACTTCAAATGATTTCCAATGACTTCTAACATATGTATGAATGTTTCTAACAATATTTTAACAACTTTCCATGTGCGTGAGAAATTGTATGCATGATTGAAGAATGTAGGTTCCTAAATGCATGTCTATGAACTATGAGTGCATTTCTTGAAGATAGAGCTCAATATTCTTCATCCTCTAAGTTCCTATACTTAAAACTATATTTCTAACTATGTAAGCCTGTGTGAGCCTCTGTCTTGTATTGAATTCAATGGTATTCATGCTTTAAGCCTTTTAGAGCCTTGTTTCACTTGAAAACTTTGACTTTAGGTTGACTTTTGCACTGAGTTATTCCTTGCGTTTTGCATGTTATTTTGGTCTTCTATCACCATTTGGGACTTGTTGCACTATTTTCCAAGTTGTGCTTACATGTTGAGCTTGTATATGCTTTTTTATTATCAAAACTCAAGTAGTTTCACCTTTGTAGCCTTTAGGGCTCAATAATCTACTCCTTTTTTTATGATGACAAACACTTCATTGAAAACTGAGGTTAGTAGTAGCAAAAGAATTCAGATTACCTATGCATGTGAATATGTGATACTCTCCCCCTTACTATATGTTCCCCCTCAAAGTATGCTCTGCTCTTCACTAAGTCATTTTTCATACACATATGCAAGTGATAAGGTATTCAAGCTAAAACAATACAATGGGGACATATATCAATCTCAACATATTTTTTTTCCCTTTTTAACAACATCAAAACGTGTTTAAACATGAATATAGCATAAAAACTCAAAAAGTCAACTATTAGTCAAACTAGTTCCATAATTGCCAATAATTTCTATCAAAGACACGAAGAACAAGTCTAGTCAACTCAATATGGTCAAATTTCCAAAATTTATAGAAATTGCAGAATTGCCATTATGCTATAAATTGAGCAAAACATAGTCGATATCAACCCATGCTCCCTAGTTATCATCAAAACACTATCACATGGTATCAAAGCATTACCAAAAGTAATCAAATCAATCACTTTGAAGGAGAAATCATCAAATCAACATTATTATCACAAAGCATCAAGTAAGTGATTACAATCTATCATTTTCATGTAAGATCACATTATTTGCATATCATATCAAATTAAGCTTTTGCAATCCATTTAGTTAGGGTTATACAATCCTTAGTCAAATTTCAATTTTTCAAATATATCTTTAGGCAACGACTTTGTGAATATATCCGTTAATTGAGCATATGATTCAATAAACTTCATATTGACATCTCCTTTTTAAACATGATCTTTAATAAAATGATGTCTCATATCTATGTGCTTAGTCCTATAATGCATAATAGGATTCTTTGTTAGATTAACTGCACTAATGTTATCACATTTAATTGGTATATTGTTGAGGGTTAAAGCATAGTCTTGAAATTGTTACTTTATCCATAAGGCTTGTGCCAACGGCTACATATTCCTCTTCCGCAATTGATAAAACAACTGACTTGCTTTTTACTATTCCAAGAAACTACCAAACAAGTGGCAAATACAACTAGTACTCTTTCTATTCAATTTGTAACTGATAAACCAGAATCGGAATAACCAATCAATGTGGATAAAAATCCATTAGGTTACCATAATCCGTAAGCATAGAATACTAATTTGATCGCTCATTGCTAATTTATGTAAGTTCAACAGTGCACTTACAAACAAAAGTGCGTCATTAAGAACATTTTTAGTGCTTTGGTAGACGTCCATGGACGATTCTAATATTTTCTTAGAGTATTACATATTATTTCAGATATTTAATTATTTAAAATTCAATGCATTGTGCTAATTACTAGTTTAATTTTTCCTGAAAAAAAAGAATAAAAATTTATCATAAAAGCAATAGATACAGTTGCTGAATTGTGAGACTCAAGCTAACAATTTGTAAAAAAATATATAAATTATAACATGTTCCATTACAAGGCATTAAAAATATATCTAATAAAATTGATCATTCCGATAGCATAAAGCAAAAGGTAAACTAATTACATCAAAAATCAATGTTAATACACAAAATAATTAAGACAAGTTCGAGTTCCATTCAACTTCGAAAGTCTAAAATGACAAGCTCCGGACCTTACACAGCAATACCCTGGATAATTTAAGTTCAAATAACTCCATAGAGGCAATTCATGCCTAAGAATTTTTTTAAGAATTTAAATTGAGGAAACTGCGAAAAAAGTGAGTATAAAAGTCATTCCAAATATGACGTGAGGAGTAATAGCAAAGGACATCATCATGCAATCGTTCTGTAAAGCAGTTGTGTGGGCCAAGCTCCATCAGCAGAAGGCAATCTTTCCCCTTCATTCACAGTAAATTAGTAGCTATCAAACTCATTCAACACCCATGATCTCACATAAAATGCTCCTAAACCTGGTGAGAAGATGGCCCCAAAGATTTTAAAAAGCAGCTGAGGGGAATTCAGGGGAAGAAAACCGAAAATAAAAAAATAAAAAAATCCCCAGATTAAAGCAAACAATCATCCCACCAATCAGAATAGGAGCATTACAACCCCATATAACACAACTAAATCAAAAAGAGTCATGCTACTAGCTCCATAACAGAGAAAATATAAATGTGCCTTTTCTGCGGGGGATTTTTACCGTTTGGTCTTTTTTCTGTTTTATAAAAGGTATTTTCTCCCTTTCTCAATCGTGATTTCCTAGATACCTCACGAGGAACTTGTCCGATTGTGAGATATGTAAACTGTTACATCCCTGCTTCCTGCTTCCCTCTGAAGAATATTCTCCAAAAAAATGTTTTTAAAGAACATCTGCAGCTCTAATTTCTTGCAGAAATAGAGTTATCTGAAACTTGAATACCAACTTGAGCAGTACCCTCTTTAGTAGAAAACAGAAGTTGACTATTCTGTGAAACATCTAGTCCTCCAGCACCATCTTTGTTAGTTGTCTCCAGAGCAATACTTTGGACTTGTTCTGCCAGTTGTACAACGGTTTGAGAACTTCTAACATTATGGGGCTGATAAGGAGGCAGGATCCATATATTCCAATCATTTCGTCTCCTTATTTTGTCACCCTATAATTGAAGAGGAACAAATTTAAAACAGAAGAGGTTTAACAATATGGCTGATACAATATCTTTAATTTCAAAGAATTAAAAACTTGGAAATCCATGGCAAGATCAAGAAAAATACCTGCACTTCAACAACAGATGAAGTTCGAACAGCATCTAATACAATCTGGATATTGTCAGTCAAATGCATGACCTGATAGAGAAAGCAAAAACATTTGTCACCTGGTAAGGAATGATGATACAACCCACATACCCAGCATAAAATTCGTGAAAAAAAGGAAAAAGGTTGGAATGGTAGTTGAAAATTTAAAGAACAACAGAATCACGAAATATGAAGAACTCTACCAGAGTACCAACATATAATAGTCCTCTTCAAAAGATACAGTCCAAAGCTCAAGCCCTAAAGGGGCACCCGCCTAAAACAATCATACCTGTTTACTCATCCATTTCCATTTCACCGATTTCAGTCATAATCAAATTCTAGAAAATTCAGCGAGATCAACTTCCATACACATGGTGAGTTATCTCATACAATTGAAGAAACATTTTAATCTTAATCTGATAATTTAATCTTCTAGAACAGACGTAGATCAGCGTTTACACAACATACAATCATCCAAAAACATGAATCTAACACACTTCAATTTAAGATGATTCAAGTCAAGTCTAAAAGTGATTAAGCATATAACACTGTTTATTGTGGGGATCACATTATTATTATTATTATCATCATCATCATCTAATACTGTTAAAAGAGAACTTTGAAATCCAAGAGAAAAAACGAAATAAGTGAAAATCAAAATGATCCAACTTAGTTTCATATCAAAAGCTTTTTATTCTTGCAATGGCGGTGCATATATTTATGTAAAAATTAGATTTTCTTATTAGAAACCTGCATTCACTCACATTTTCCAATTTCAATGAAGAGTGTTACAGAGAAAAGTCCCTATCACAGAAGGCCAACACAAGCAAACAATTTCCTGTGAGTAAGATGCCCAACAACAACCAAAGCCTTTTAACCCACTAGAAATATATTATCACGTTAAACTAAATGAAAAAAAAAAAGAAACAAAAAGGACTCATAAATTCATTCATAAAAGTTGTTTCATAATTGGTATGTAAACATTTAAATCAATTGTAGAAATAGAAAAATAATTTAGGGTAGAATTCCAGCTTTTACATCTTCATCCCTTCCTTAAAATGGAGTATTTACCATGCACCATGTCCATAATATCAAATCTTTGGTTTCAATACTATATACTGATCTTAAAGAGTAAAGTTATTATCCCCTCCTAAGAAACATTTTCCACAGATATAACGCGAGGAGATCTGTGCAACCATAGGGAGACAACAAAATTTCTACCACCATTTGTCATCCCTTGACCGTCACTGAAAAAGAAGTAAAATTAGAAGGTAAACCAGATCAAAATAAGATTACTGCATGTGTAATCAACCATGACTCAATGCACTTGCTTAGAAAGCACTCAAACAATACAACAAGTAGCTTCCAGTAAAGGATTGAAAATAATAGTCAGATAAGATTTAATCCTCCAACAAGAGATTAAATATTTATTTAAAAAAATGAAGTATATTATTAGTTATCTACAAAAGCAAACGAGGAACCCACTTCAAAGATCACAAAATAAGCAATCAAATACCCCAAAAAACTTACTTTCTTGAAGCCTGCTATTAATGTTATAGGAACCCAGCCCTGGTCATCCATGTTCCGCCGCAAGTAAGTATCTTTAACTAAATTTTCACCACTGCAAAAGACAAGTTATGGTAAATATACAGTCAACTTTCTAAAACAGTTAAAAATAAGAATACAACAAAATAGAAGTAGTGACAGACCAAAGTATTAGCACTACCTGAAATAGTAGTCAATCTGCTTGACAATCTTAGTATACAACTGAGGATCCGGAGGTTGAAAAAACATTGCATTAGGTGGTATCGGAGACACAAAAGGAACACCTCTTAATGAATCCGGCGGTGGAGGTGGAACATATATCATTTGAGGTGGTAGTTCTGAAAATGCATATAAACATCAGAGCATGTACAAGAACTATATAAATACCATCTTGACATTAACATTGCGTACCAGGAAACCCAATGGAACCACCAAAGGGACGCATTGGTGGTGGAGGGGGAAATAATTGAGCAGGATTAGGTGGCGGTGGAGGCCTTATAAATCTTGGAACAAATCTTGGTGACATATAGTTGTCTCTACCATTAAAATTTCGGTGAGAATTCCAGTCCTGATTTCCATCACGCCTGCTCCCATAGTTATGATGGTGGGCGCCATCTCCGCGGTGATGTGGACCGCCATTCCGGTTCCTAAACGAATTCCGCTGCTGTGGGTGATCACTAGACACAAATCCAGTTCTTGGCTGATGGTCCCTAGGTGAAGAGTTGTGGTTGTGGGACCCAGTTGCAGCCATTGAACCTTGAGGCGTAGATAGTTGTGGTGGGTGGCCTCCATTAGAAGATGGGATTGAATTACTACGCTTATAAGATCTCTGCTGAGTCGGCACCATATTGTTCGTGCTTGCATTATCCCTAACTTGCCTCTGTGGAGAGGGAAGCGCGCTTCCGGTACTCTAAAATCGGCACTCAAAACGAAATCAGTGTCTATATGCACATATAAACCAAAAACAAATAACAAATATACCACAAAAGCAAAAGGACAAAACGCACTTGGCAATTTACAGCAACAACCTTGATCTAAATTCTAATACAGAACAAACAATAGCAACAGCAACTACACTCCCCTATTTTTCAGTTTCGTATTGACAATACAGGAAAAGTTAACAAGCTCTAACAGGTTGTAAAAGTACCAAAAAAAATTCACAAATTGTAATAACCGAAATATCTAGCAATGTAGACTTTTTTATTTTGTTTCCTTTTTAATTTTCTGAACTGAAACAAAACAAAATTACGAACGGAACAAAACCTGCAATTGCGGCACGGACGATGCATTCATCAAACCCTTTGCCGATTCCGACGGCGAAGGCGAATGTGATTTCGACGGAGCCCTGGCGGACTCCGACAAGGCAGGCCAAGAATCAGCGCCCATGACCGCAGAAGAAGCGCCATTGGAGGGTTTATTCCAAGCAGGCCTCTTACCGGTATTGCCATTGTGCCCAACGCCGTTATCAGGCTCTTCCGCCGGCGCCGAATTCACGGCATGAGACTCGACGACAGCCGGAGGCGGCGGCGACGTAGGAGGTGCGGCGGCGGCCACAATCTGGCTCCACGGCGAAGAAACGCCGGTCTTAGGGGAATGATTGGGAGAAACACCGCTATTAGCCATTGGAATCGGAATCGGAATCGGAATCGGAATCGGAATCGAATGCGTGTGAGAGAGAGAGAGAGAAAATCACCGTGATAAAATCCAAAATATAAAAAAAGAAAAGGAAAAGAAAAAATTGGATTCGGAGAGAGAAAGACTGGTTAGGTTAGGGTTTGATCTCCGATCGCAATTCGCTGCAACTGGTAGAGCTCGTTGGTGTGTTAAGAGAGAGTATGCATTTATAGGAACGCAAAACGGTGAGGTTAAGTTGTTTTTGTTTGTTGTTTCTTTCTCTCTCTCTAAGTCCCTTTCTCTCTCTAACTCTTTCTGCTTTTTAACTCTCACTGGGACTCTCTCTCAGGATGAGAATACACTTCCTTCATAAACCAGGTTTTCTGTGACGCTTGATTTTACGCAAATACCCCTACGTCTTAATAATTTTTCTGTTATATCTAACGTGGAAATATTTGGAATTTGAGATTTTTTTCACAAGCGATCTCAAAATCTTGCAGTTAGAGAGATATAGACTGATATGCATCAAATTTTCAAATGTCTAATATGAAAATATTTGGAATAGATCAGTTTTTTTTTTTTTTCTCATTATCTTGTAATCCTAAAATTTTGTATTTGTTACTTTTTTTTTAAAGATTGTTTTAGGTACAGTCTATCAAGAGAGGGATACACATAAAATATTCAAAATAAGTTGCACTTTTCGCGTGATCTTATCATTTGAAATTTTGTATTTTCCTTATTCTTGATAAGTTTTCACAAAATTTGATAAGTTTTTACCTGATCTGTGAAAAATTCAAGTGACAATATTTATTTAAAAAAAAAAAATTATAGTTATTATCTTTTTTTTTTACTATCTTTTACTACCAAATCTAAACCATTGATTTTTGTCAATCTAACGGTTATAATTTATTAAAAATTAATAATTAATTAATAAGTATGACCCAATAAATTATAACTATTAGATTGACAGAAATCAACGGTTAAGATTTAATTAGTAAGAAAAAGAACTAGTAACTAAACCTCCCCCTTAAAATATTATACTCATGTTCTAAGAATATAACAAATTAGTAGAATAATATATTTATTTTTTTGTATACAAAAGGAATTAAAAAATAAACTAAAGGTCTCTCACCACTCTGGGCCAGGCTACTCCTCTATAATCACTCCCCACTATTTCAACACATCCTTCAGGAGGATGATCAAAGAAAACAGTCTCTCATCTTAAAGAAATGGCAAAATTTGCAAGCCAATCAGCTACCCAATTTCCCTCTCTATAGATATGAGCATATTCCACCTGCCAATCACAGTCCCTAAGCTGGATGATTTTATTAATTAACCCAGCTAGAGGATGGTTGACAGATACTCCCTCTCTTATCAAATCTAGTGCTACTTGTGAGTCTCCTTCAATGATTACTCTTCTTATGACCAAGATTTCATGCCATTTGAAGTCCCAAAAAAATTCCCCAAATTTCAGCTTTAACTGAACTGCAAACTCCCAGATTCCTAACAAATCCCTCAGCCAATGACCAGCCTAATCTCTCTTACGACTCCACCACATCCACTCTGCATGTTACCTCTCTTGGATGATCCATTAGAATTGATTTTTATCCATCCAATGGGAAGTGGTAACCATTGCACCAGAGTCTTCTTTCGAATTCTGTCATGCAGCCCAGCTTTGCTATACATGGCTTTAGCTTCCAAAAAACTTGCTAGATAAGTACAAGCCAATCTGGATGTATTCCCCTCACTTGGAATTTCTCCTTCAAAGATAAATTTGTTTCTTTCTTTCCAGATAAACCAGCATACTAAACCAAATAAAATGCTACTCTGATTCCTCCCAACATGCATTTCTTTGGATCCAGATTTACATATTGCCAGGTTTGTAGAGGGAGTGAATTAAACTCAGACCATTTATCTGGACTGATTATTGATCTCCAAATCTTTCTCGACCAGCTACAATCCCTCATAGCATGAAGCCAATTTTCAGGAGCAATAAGACATCTAGGACAAACACTAGAATTCGCCATGTGTCTCTGAACTCTCCTCAGATTTGTTAGAAGATTTTCTCCAAGAAGGAGCCATAGAAACATTTTCACTCTAGGAGGACCATCCCAATCCCAAATTGAATTCCACTGATATTGTTGGTTGTTGGGCTCTTCATTACAAAGCAGGTTAAATGCAGATTTCGTGGAGAAACTTCCAACATGGGATAAGTCCCAGATTACCCTGTCATCTCCTTCAACTGGGCTAGGGGGACATAAACCAGCAATAAGGTTCCGAGTTTCTTGAGTTAACAAATAATTAAACTCCTGCCACTTCCATTCTCCATTAATACAAACCATATATGCTATATCCACATCTTGGATCTCTGTGGGAATATCATGTATAGTATGGTTTATTAGTGGGCCAATTGACAACCATTTATCATTCCAGAAAGAGGTTCCATTACCATTACCCACCATTATTCTTGAACCTTCATAAACCTTCTGCCACACTCGAGATATCCCCAACCATAGGTTTGAGCAACCTGGATAAGCCCATTTCCAACTTTGTATTTATTTTGCAACACTTGCATCCACAGTTCTTACCTATGGGTCAGTAATCCATGCCCAATCTTCATCAGGCAAGCTCTATTTGTCATTCTCAGGTTCCTGATCCCTAACCCACCATTCTTTTTTGCTCTACACACCACACTCCAAGGAGAAGCATGGATTTTTCTCTTATCCAAATTTGATCCCCAAACAAAACCTCTCATTTTCTGCTCTACAGCCTCACAGGTACCCACCGGAATTAAAGATGTCTGCGTTGAATAAGTTGGAAGAGTAGCCTGCCAGCCATTCACAAAGATTTTTCCTTCCAAGCATTCAGCCTCCTATTAGTCTTCTCCAAAATATATCTAAATGTATTCTTGTTCACCTCTTATGTAAAATGGGGATCCCAAGGTATTTACCTAAATCAGTAGTGATGGCAAAACTCAGAGCTTGACTTAGTTCACTACGTCTAGTGTGATTTACATTCTTGGAGAAAAAACATCTAGTTTTACTATTAATAATTTTCTAACCATATGCACTGCAAAAGTGATTCAGAATGCTCACAATCAGATTGGCTTGGTCACCACTAGCTTCTAAAAAAATTAAAAGATCATCCGCAAAGAATAGATGGGAGATTGGGGGACCATTTCTTCCCAGCTTCACAGGGTACTAGTCTTTTTTCTCTACTGCAGTATTAATCAAATGTCCCAACCTCTCAATGCACAACACGAATAGATAAGAAGATAGGGGATCTCCTTGTCTAAACCCTCTTGAAGGAGTGAAATCTTCAGTTTGAACCCCATTCCACAAAATATTCATGGTAGGAGATGTGACACAAGCCATAATAAGCTCCACCAACTGCCTGGGCAGCCCAGTAAATTGCAAGGTTTCCTCCAAAAACGACCAACTTACCCTATAATAAGCTTTTTTCAAGTCTGTCTTTATTGCCATCCAACCTTTCTTGCCTTTCTTTGATCTCATGGAGTGAAAAATCTCCTGGCTGATGATGATATTATCTGAAGCATGTCTTCCTTTCACAAAACTACATTGGTTTGGCATAATTAAGGTGCTCATATGATTCTTTAGCCTAACAGCAATAATCTTAGTGATCACTTTGTATATGACATTGCACAAACTGATTGGTCTAAATTGATTAATCATTTCCGGACTATCCACTTTAGGAATCAAACAAACTAGAGTTTGGTTAATACTTGTCACCTTCTTAGGATCTTCAAAGATATCTTTGACTAGCTTTATCACAGAACTACCTACTCTGTCCCATTAAGTATGAAAAAATATTGCATGTAGGCCATCAGCCCCAGGAGCTTTAAAAGGCTGCATTTTGAATATGGTTCTTTTTACTTCCTCCACATCAGGGATATTTCCAATACTTCTCCACTTCTGATCATCCACCACTGGGAATAGGCTACTAATGCACAATCTTTGGGTGCAATGTATTTCTTCCACATAAAGTCTTTTAAAAAAACCAATTGCCATAGCTTTAAGTTCCTTTGGATCCTGAACCCAAGCTCCCTCTGCGAAACCAATGCACCTAAAAGGAAGAGTTCATTTATACAAGAGTTTTGATGATAACAAACAAGCTTAGAAGCGACGTCAAAGATAATACAACTTGCAACAATCAAAAGTCCAAGGAAGCAATTCAACAAGACAACAAGAGCAAATCACTCAACACACGTGATCAAGATCAAAGATCAAGATTGCAACATATCCTTGAGAGCTTAGATCTAAATGTAAAGGTAATTGATTAATGATGCATAAATGAACTCAAAGGATATTTAACTCTATGCATGCATTATCCATAACATCAATCACTTGAAAGCTTTAATACTTATGAAAAAGACCCATGACATATTTCGTAACTTCAAAATATTTTCAACAAGTCAAGGAATGTTGCGGATCTAGCAAGTGCACTAGTCGTACAAGTAATAAAATGATGAGTAAAGATCGTTCCCACGAGGAATTGTGTTCAAACACCAATATACCATAGAAAACTAATTTGAATCAAATAAGAGTTTGTAAAAATCATGAATAATTTGTTACCAGAAAATTGATTTTGAGTAAATTGACACAAGTAAATATGGATTAGGAATTAATAAAAACAACAAGTAGTCAGAAAACAACTTTCCTCCATGATAAACCATATAAGAATTGATCATATGATGAATTCTTTTCCATATGGTGTTAATCAACCTTTTACTTATCATCAAGATGTAATCCCTTACTACCCTGATAGAAACATTAATCAGAAACCCCAATCCCTTGGTGATTTCTTTCTTAATACATGCATGAAATACTAAGGTTTTAAGATTACATCAGAACTCTAGCATCAATCCCTTGAGTACTAGAATTCTGATGTTGAGATTATCAAATACAGAAGTCATATAAACATCCCTGTTCTATACTACTTCATTGATAGAAATAATTAACTCAGAAAATCTCAAATCAGCACATGAAAAATACTTCATCATATTAATCAAATCAACATAATATTATCATGGAGTTCCATTGCATTCAGACTACAAAGACTCTACTCAGACATGACTAAGGAATAAATAAGAGAAGAAGAAGCAAACTTCATTTCCATGTTGAAAGTCTTCAATCTCCAAACTATTACAAGGAAATCCTAATACAAAAACTAAAAGAATTTAGAGAGAAGTCAGACTAAGTTTAAGAGAGAGAGAGAGTTCAGATCCCCCAAGATTCTCCTCTAAGTGTCAAGGCTTTGCCTTATATAGTGTTACAATTAAAAACAGAAAACTGATGTGGGTGCTAA